ATTCGATTAACGTACGATCGTCGGATAATTTTTAAAATTAGCATGTTATAGAAATTCAAATTTAATGTAATTTTGCCCGTTTGGTGGATATTAAAATCAAATTTTTAGTGAATTTTGATAAAAATTAAACACTTATGGATTCCATGAAATATGTTATTAAAATTAATTGTTAACTTTGATTTAGATTTCAATCGATACAAAACACGATTTAAAAAAAAATCTCAAAAGTTTGTGGGGGAGGGGGGCACTTGCCCCCCAGGACCCCCATAGCTATAGGGCTGACCATGTCTAACCGTGACTTCTCTGTGTAGCCACATTTTTGGGAGCTCTTCTTTTACCCATGTCTCCCATTTCCTTGTCCTACCCCTTGTTTTTCTGGTGCCTGTTAAAGCCCCGCAACGAGAAGAGCAAGAAAATGGAAGTAGAAGGAACGGACCATTTAGAACAAAAGAGGTCACAATAGAAGATGACTTCATTGTTAACAAACTTAAATTGAATAGGCAGGAGAACTCCCTTTTTTTGTAATTAAATTGGCGAATGATGATTTGTCATGCGTTGAACTATAAAACTTGGTGTATCCAAGCATATTTTTCAAATGAATAATTATATATAGTCCTAATTAGCGGTGGCAACTCCAATTTAGACGACGCTAGATAATAGGCTAAATGAAATATGAAATTAACTTATTATTTAATATTACGTCACATAAACTGGAGTTACAACCTCAATATGATTAAGCCCTTGTTTGATATCCATTTTTTCTTATTCTTATTCTCATTCTCATTTTTTCTATTTCTTTATCTCAACCACACATTCTATCAATAAAATAATATTATACATAAACTCAACTATTCTCCTTATTTTTTAAGCACATATTCTTCCATCAATCACTATTCCAAATCAAATTCTTTTTCAAAATGGGTGTCAAACACAAGCTAAATAGCATTAATCTTTTCAAATCCACCGCACACCATGCCGCCTGTACAACCCCCCTGTACAGTTAAGATTTCTCTAAATTAAATTATTTATTCCTTCTCCATCTTGGTCCTTGTACACTAGTAAATTTATGAGAAAAAGTATTTGTACAAAAAAAAATATACCAGAATTACACCAGAATAGAGACAAATGTGGCCCCACCATCTATTTAAAAAGAAAAAAAATGTGCAGGCCCCACCCTTGTGTGAGCGATTTATTGCAATTCTAGTGATTTTATTCTGGTTGTGCAGCAAAGCTGTAAATTTATAATCAAAAAGTAAAATATCCAAGCCCCAATCATCCTCCAGTCTGATCTTGCTAGTATAATACATGATGATGTGCTCCATGTCGTATCAGGCTTGGAGTGAGTTCACACTTCACGCTTCCTACATTTGATCTGCTTTTTCATCCCTTCAAAATTCACACCATTCAGTTAGTACCTAGCACTTAAAAAAGAAAAAAAAAAAAAAAAAAACTATTCTCTTACCTTTTGACTATGGAAAACTCCCAATTTGCTTTTTTCATGCGTCCTTTATTGTTCTGTAAAGCATAACCAGCCCACTAATCCCCCAAAGAACAGCACCATTAATTTACATATTTAGAGATAAACCTAAAACGCCAAGAAAAAATAACTCAAAAGTTACCTTAACAGATCTGCGGCCTTGACCTCGCATATTCTGCTACAAGGCTATGCCTTAAGAAGTAAGGTTTCACTTTTTTGCCAAAATCAACATTATAAGTAGAAAGTGTTAAAAGGATTTTTTTTTTTTTTTTTTAACAGTTTCTGCAGTCGGGTTTTTCAAGATTTAATTTTTACCCCGAGATTGTAGTATATTTGATTCTTGGATAATAACTTCAAGAAACGGGTTTCTTTTGGAAATGGATAAATCTTGGGTACTTTTGCTTTTATGTTTATTTATTGAAGAATAATTTGGATTTATTAAGTGGGCTTTAGATTTTCTCCAAGAAAATAAATTCCCATTCAAGAAAAACTAAGAGAATAGTTCATTCTTGAACGGAGGTGGGTTTTGTTGTTGCAAATATGATTCCCCTGTTCTTTTTGGTTGTCTGTGCTGAGGGTTTAGTGGCATTCCTTTTAGTGGTGAAGATTGGACCCCTGAGAGAACTGGTAATGAAGGGTTTAGATCAAGTGAAAATGAGAAGGGGTACAGTTTTAACAATTGCTGGTACTATTTTTGTCATCCTCTTTTCAAACCTTGTTAGCATACTCAAGATTCAGAATAAGGGTTCTAAGCTTGGTACAATGACACCAATGGATCAAGTACTTTGGAGGACCAATTTGCTAGAGGCTACTCTCATGGGTATGAATATGATCCTTATCAGTTTTGGTTCAATTTTATATATATCTTTCTTAATTTTTATTGTTCATTTTGGAATATGAAATATGCTACTCAAATTGTTGCTTCTATAGATGTTTCTTGGTACATTATGATTTGAACTGTGAAAAAATTGTGTTTTGATTCCATGTGTTTGATTTGAAGATTTTTGATTTGTGAATGTAAAATATGCTACTGAGTTGGTGGCTTACATGTGATGGATTTGATATGTATTACTCGCTTGATACATTATCTAAGTACAGTGAAAAGATTGTCTAGAGTTATCTACGTCTACAATTTTGGTTTTAGAGGAAGAATTACTTTTACACACTCAGTGACTTGACTTTACTTTTACACACTCAGTGACTTTGCCTTCAGTAAATAATCAGAGGGAGTGAGAAACCTGCATTAATGCTTTGGAGATGCCTGGTTCTCTATGTCTTGGAGCATTTATTCCTTAATCCACTGATTTGTTACTTCATATACCTCCCGGCTCCCTAGTCTGGACGGAAAAGAGAAAGTCCTTAGTCCATACCAAATCAAGGTGGGTGGGGAGAATACTTAATTTGTTTATTGCTTATTTTGTATCAACTTAATATCATCTGTGGAATTGCCATCCTCCAGGTATCAGGTTGGCAGTGATGGAAATAATTTATTCATGATCATTTAGCTTTGGTTACTTATTAACATCCATTTGTCTATGTTATGTGAATGAGCGTCTGAGACAACGATTTATATAAAAAAGAAATTGACCAATTTTGAGTTAATTTCTTAGATAGTGTCTTAAGTGCTTCTGGGTGCTGATAGATGAAGATGTATACTAATTTAAGTACCTGCAATCTCCTAGATTGCAGTACTTTGACAATTTCAATTATAACGTGTGTTATCTATCCCCCTGAGAGCCGTGTTCTCCAAACTCACTTGCCTCGAGTGTAGTGCATAACATTATCTGCTCTGCATACTTCCTAAAGGTCTTGTTTTGCTGGTGTTTGGGAAATGTAATGTTTAATCTCATGCTATTCTAAGATATTGATATCAACCAATGTATGGGTTTATCTTGGAAAATAATATTTGAATATGTATAAATGTTACTTAATTAATTTATTATTGATACATATGTGACAATGAATGTTAAATTATCTATTTAATTTTCAATTAAGTAAAATTGAATGTTTATTAGCATAAATGGACGTGAATAATGAGATTTATTCTTGAATTTGAAATTCTGATTAACTTATAATGACAATGAATGTTAAATTATTTATTTAATTTCCAATTAAGTGAATGTTAATTAGCATAAATGGATGTGAATAATGAGATTTATTCTTGAATGTGAAATTCTAATTAACTTATAATTAGAATTAATTAACGCATAAATGAAGATGAATATTAATTAAATGAATGTGAATATTAATTAATCGAGAATTAATACATTTATTTCATATTCTTCAAAAAGTTATATATATAGTTCTGCTTCTGCTGTCTTGTCTTTAACGTCTGAACTTGATCTTGTAGGGTTCTCTCTCTTCCTTGCGTTCTTAATTGATAGAATGCACCATTATATGCAGAAATTGATCAAACTTAGGAGTAGTTCTGGAGACTCGAAACAAGAAGTCGAGAGGCTTGAGAAAGAAAAGTTGCAACTGAAGGAAAAGGAAGAGAAAGCTGCTGAAGAATTAAAAAGATTACAGAAAGAAATCTCTACTTTGACGGACAATTTGAATAAGCTT